TTATCAGTTTTTTCGTAAGGACGGAAAGAAGGAACTTAATTGACCGCGGTGGTCCCAATGGTCGCTTACCATTGGCCAGTCGCATCAACTCAACCTTCGAGCTTTCCCCCTTTCTTCTCTCTTCTTCCCCCCGAAGGCGGCGCTTTGTAAAAATACCCGTTGCTTTGTCAAAAAAGATTTGGTTTCCTTTCCGGCCGTGGAATTCTACCTACCTACCTACCTTTGAACTTTCCCAATTGCACCCTCTTCGACGTGGCAGGGTGATGGGGCTTTTCTCTGCTTTCTCATCGCTTCTTTGTTTACTCGCCCTTATCGTCTATGTGCCGGCTGAGACTAGATCCTACTTACTGACTGGTGACCGCTCGTAACATCGCCAAAAATCCCCGCTCCTTCGCTCGCCTCGCAACACAAGACACCCCCCATGACTTCTTATTCGCCCTCTCGTTTTGTTCTGAGCCTCTGACTGACTCGCCAAAGACAACAAATCTACGATGTCTATCACTCCCGCACTGTTTTTAGTGCAAACGTGGAACAGTAGCATGCTCAAACGCGTCGTCCTCGAGGGGGAGATGTATACCATGGACTTGGCGGCAAGAACAGCAGATTCCTACCCCATGTAGAAACGTATAAAGAGTTCGTGCTTTTCCAATGTAATCCAACTCGCTCCTTCAACTTGTCCCAACCCCACAACCCGTACCTAACAACAATGCGTTTCTCTCTTACCCTCATCCTTGTGTCCGCCGGCCTCGTCAGCGCACAGAGCTGCTACAGCAACAAAGGCACCTGCAAGTACACGTCGGACTGCCACGCACCGGCGTACTACTCCAAGCCTGGTTCGTCCCAACCTAATTTTCATTCCGCGCCGCAATAATTGGTTAACCCGTCGACGCAGGTTACTGCCCCGGGCCGACAAACTACCAGTGCTGCATCCCGTCGGGCTGCGTTGTGTGCAAAGCCGGCGAAACACGCGACATTGGCGAGCTGGAGGCACGCGCGCCTTGCTGTTAAATTCTGGTTTCGGCGTGTTGTGAAACTCACAATTTGAGTGGGTTGCTTTCTCCTTTTCTCCTTCACTGGTGAACTTAAGTACACTGACGCCGCAAAGCAGTGCACGGTTGCGGAAATAATGGTGGTTGAAACACGTACTATTACTACCTATACTATCGGAACGTATGCAGTGTTATGTGCCGTTCTAGGAACTTGAGAAGCGTGCGAGTCGCTGGACAGAGGCTTTCATACTGCAAATCTTACCTGGCTTATCGGTTCCGCGTTCATTTTATATTTTATACTTTTCAACTTCGAATCCTTGTACAAAGTTCATAAGACTCCCAACTAGCAGAAACAAGCCCGGCGGGATTGACGGGCGAATTCTGCGATTCAGTGGCTCAAACCGGGCCATAATGCGACCCAGTTGGATCGAGTGGCCTGTGAGCGTGCTTGCACGGCTTAGGTAGAACAGGGAGGCCCCGATGAGATGTCTCAAATACATAACGCTGTGGAAATGCGCACCGGATACATTTCGCGGATCAGACCCATATCCAGACTACGGGCAGATATTCAAGTCGAGAGGGACTGACGCCGCTCTGCTAAGCCACAAATGGTAGAACTTGAACTCCAATGGCAATGTTGCAGCGTTATAGTAATCCAGCTCGGACCATAGGGTGGGTGTGCTCAATGCGACTCTGCGCCACGTTGAACAGTTGCACAATATATCGAGTTGGGTCAGCATCTCCACGTCCAGAGCGCCCCAGTTGAATTTTGGGGAGATGAGACCCTGAATTGGTGGAATATCGCCGCAAGCAACTCGGGAAATAAGCTTTGCGCGGGACTGGGTTGAAGCTGTCCGTGATGCGAAGCCACTGGCAGTTCCGCGCCTTCACGGGACTGCTGCATTTCTAGCCCTGACAGCATGCTCTCGAGCTGGGTGTGAGATGAATCAGAGTCGATTTGACGTTTTAGCTTCTCAATCGCGTCTGTTAGCTCTTGCTTCCGGCTCGACCGCGGTCCCTGCTTTGCCAAATCGCTTTGAAGTTTGAGCATCTACCGACTGTTGACGGCGGCGTCGAGATACTGTATTTTTTCAATCAGATCGACACGGGGTGTGACGCGTGACCTACTCGGACCATTTCGACAGTTCGATACCACCGAAATTTTCGCGTGACCACTGGAAAGTTTTCTAAAATTTCAACATGAAAATTCGTTTTTTGGCATTTTTAGATGATTTTGCCCGGCGTGACGCGGATTTCCGGTTCGATAAAAGCCTGAGTGACGCGTGACATCGACCAAAATTCGATATCGATACGGTGGTGCGTGACGCGTGACTATCGATCTGAATGAAAAAATACAGTAGACCGTACTTCCTTGATCCTGGCCACCAAGCGCGGCGCGTTAGTGTCCAGTCCATGGTATCGGGTTTGACACTTCACAGTCTCGGATTCGAAGATCGGCAACACCGCACGGCGCAGGTGTCGACATACGGATCTGGAACGGTTGTAGTACTATCATCATCTCTACTGAATATTCATAGACATACCAGAGGAGGTTAACGTTGGCAAAACCGGAATAGAAAGCTCAAGGTGGCTGTTAGGTGGCTGGAAAAATTGTAACTCAACTTGAAGCAGGATGGAACTTCATCGTCGCGGTGATGCAATCACGAATTTTATTGATCCCAACGAGCGCATAACATGGAGCCACAACGGCACAGCCACACTCTTCTCTCCTTCCGCCCTTCATCATGTCCGATGGGCGACACTAATCTCCTCATCTGCACCAAGAGAAGTTGCATATTCAGATACACCAGCCTGGTGTTCACACCTTTATCTGTCTGGGTACGGTACCGTGAAGCCAAGGCCTGGATCGTGAATGTATGGTGCCACTGCAGGCTCAGAGCCTTCAACTTTGCTTCAACTGGCACCGAAATGAATCTTCTAGTGCGCTGCATGGATTCCCACCGACGCATGCTTTCCGACCTACATCGCAAGCCGCTCGTTCATCGATTGGCCTCAAGATCTTTGCTTCTCCTCCCTTCACACTTCTACCGCGAAGAAATCCCTACGACTTGAACCCATTATCGCAATATTCTCCCACTGCCCACTATCGTTCATCGATAACCTCAAAGCGGAAAATTTCCATACAAAGTGACCGATCGTGATCTAACGTACACTCTCCAGATCCTCGACAGAGATCCGGGTCGCACCGGGAGGTTGGCCAGTTCCACGCCTTGGGTAGGCATTCATTCATAGCGATCCACATGGCACGTCATACATAACCAATATAGTTCATTCTTTAATGTTTTACAGTTGTCCGCATCGAAGGCACTGCCATCCCGCCGCAGATTTCTCTTCCCTGCCCGCAATCAGCGCTGGATTTCATTTTCCCCCTACATTCCTTGGCGATCCGGGGAGAGTTCATTACCTGATCATCCTCATCGCTTGCTCATCTCTGCTCATCTCCCCGTCGATGCGCCCTCATCGATCGTGATCGATACGATTAGGGCGATCCTGATTCCCCGCATTCGCGCGTCGTGGGAGCGCCCGGTCCCGCACTTGACATCCTGAGAATGCGTCTTGATCCGTTCAACTATTACCAAACGGCGCGTTGTTGGCCTCCGTCCCGACCGACGACGACAGACGACGACGTTCGGGTTTCCAGCACACCTTCCGCGGAAATACCGACATACTGGCAGGAAGCGGGGCGAGAACCTTCGGGACGCGCACCGGTGATACTGGGAGTATTCACACCTTCTGCTTCGGAGTTCGTTTTGGGCTGCCAAGGACCCCACGTTGCAACAGTTCTGCGAACACGACTTCGCCTAGTTCAATCATCTGTGCTATCACGCATTCATTGGTAAGGAAGGTACCCACTGAAGCCTGCTCCTGCAGCATACACGTTCGTCGCAGTATCGGTACCCAGCTCACGCTGATATCGTCCGATATCCTCCTGCAACACGCATCGCTGACTGATCCACCACTGTTGACTGATTCAACTTGCTTCAGGAACATGCTCAGTCCTCCGCACCTGCTGAACTGCGATTACAGGTATCTTCCGCTCCAGATATAGCATCGCCGTTCTAAATTCTGGCCTCCCTACCCCCGCGGTTTCTACGAGGTCGTTGCCTGGAGCCGAAGCAACTTGTCTGGGGTCGAAGCTATCGAATCCACTGCTGTACACGAGTCTGGAGTGGAAGCTCAGCCTGTAAGCGTCAGCGCCAGGGCGCTACCACACCACGCCTTTTCCTGCAAGCAACTTTGCGCTCGACTTGGGCAATCATCTGCCACCACAGTCGTACGTTGGGCAGGGGGTTGGTTTGTGATAGCCCTGATAGACCCGTGAATTGAGAGAAATATGTTCCGACATAGGCCATGAGCCAAATATGTCGGTGGCGTCGACCCGGCATTGCGCGAAATTAAAAGAAGCGTCGGCACTGTGGGCTTAAGCTGCTAGTTTAAGATATATACCCACTTCGTGCATATCTTCCGGGTTTAAGAGGGTCCGAATGACTGTATTTTTCTCGCAGATGTCACCTCGCAGGAAAATGTTCGACACGGTGTCGGGAAAGTAAAGGAGTGTTCATACTGTGGGCTCTTCATGTCTGGTGAAGATAGATACCTACACAATGGATGCGTCGCGGATAATGATTTGAGAGCTTCTGTAAGCGTAATTTGTGCAACGGACACGTAGAAAGTGGGACATCCGACATTGGGAGTCACCTGGATGAAGTTTCTACCACTTCAACAAATGAAATATGCAAGAAATATGAATATGTGCTCACTATGGGGCGAAGATACACCCGCTGCTTATCGATACGGCCCCTAAAGAGTTCTCGCCGAATTCTTGCGCAAAACGACGACTATGGACGTTCTGGAAATGATGCGGAAAATAACAAAAACAAACATATCTCGAAAAAATGGAATTTCTCAACCATCCTTCATCCGTTCGTCTTGCCCTTTGGTGGACATCATCTTTAAGACATATTCGACCATTTGTACTCTTCATTCATCGGGCAAATAGTGTAGTTGGTTATCGCGCCCGCTTCGCATTCCGTTGAGGATGACGTAAAGTTGCGGGAGGTGCTGGGTTCAATTCCCAGTTTGTCCACTCTTTTTGGACTCCTTGCACACCATCTTACTTGCGGAATGATCCACAGAAGGTTCAGGAACGATCTGAAACCCTTACGACACTTTCGGCCGAATTCGGAGGTAACCGCTCATTTTCGCCAAATCTCGGGTTTTAATAAATTCCCGGAGCCCCGAAATGTTCTCGGCGGAAGGGGGGATGGCCTGCCTACCCAGATTATTAATTTCCGAATTTTGGGAGCAAGGGGAGGCCGGGGGGAAGAGGTTGAACTGCGATCACTATTTGGCATTGGAATCAATTTCTGATGCGAGATGTGATGGGAGGGTCGGTGAGTATTTGGCTCCGATTCCGAACGTCTTTCTCTCTTTGCTTTGTTTTCCTCGTTAAACAGAAAGGAGGTTATCCACCTGATATGATACCGGGTTACAAGGGCCGATAATTCGAAGTAATTTCAGCCATAATAGGCTTGGTACGCATCAACATGCAGCGATGCGGAGAAGACACGGCGGTCGGACCGGGGTGCATATGTTCAGAATCAATATCGGAATGCCGAGCACGCCATCCGTTCGTGATGAAGATTAATCGTCTATGTTTCCTTTGCTTCCGCTTTTTTGGGGAAGATGGAAGGAAGCAAAATATTTGTTGGGGAAGTGAGGTGGCGGCCAAGGTGAAGCCGAGGTCGTCTTTCGAATAACAAGAGTATGTTCTTTCACTAATATCAATGTTTGAGCGGTCGGTATTGGGGTCTGCGTACCCAGATTCTCAAAAGGCAAATTGTGTATTTATGTCGAAACTCTGTGAAAGAAAGAAAAAATTGGGGAGGGTTGAGGGTATGTTCATCCCCCACCGACGGGGATGGCTCACTGCCTTGCGATTTGATGCGAGTTCCGACATTCCAAATGCACTGGCCCAAGGAGTTGCGAAGAAGATTTGCGTATGCCACAACATATCGCCGAAAGCAGCCAAGTGACTGAGCCATTAATCGCATCAAACGCAACGGCATCAAGAAAAGAACGTGAATGTCGGTCATGCGCGTCGGACGCCGGTGCGGGATCCGGGTTCGGGTACGCAGGTTGTGCCTTCTTACTGCGTCCGTTTGGGTGAGATCAGCGTTGGGGCTTGGCATTGGCGTTGGGACAACTTCCAGCATTTATTCAGGCTCGTGCTCGGTCTCGATCATTCATTCGCTGGGACTCTCACAAAGTCCAAGTTTGAGGAGTTCTCATTTTTGTAACCTTCCAACGAGCCCGAGGATTTACTTCCAACCAGTATGGCATTTGATTTGACGGATTGGGTTTTTTACAGATAGGGGGTTGAACTGCCAGTTGAGATTATTCTCTGCACGCCTTTATTTCCCCATAACGTATTTTCTGCGCCCCGACGGCGTCCTCGCCTCGCTGCGCGTTAGTGATGTACGTCTACCGGCGTTCTCTCTTTCTATTGTATTTTGGCCTTTTTCATGCCGCGTGGTACACCCGAGTCGAATTATTGGCGCTTTGGCCAGTCGAGCGAAAAGCTGTGGTTGAAACTATCAAGTCGGTTGAAGTTCCCCCATTCCGTGAAGTTTCAACTCCGACTGGGATAAGGGGTTGAACATTGAATCTCACACCCCCGTCCCCGCTTTGTCCCCGCTTGCTCTATTTCTTGGTCCATCCTCTACTCTAGAGCTCCTTCAAGTTACCCGCCGCCGCCGCAGCTGGCCGCGGCACGGCGCGTGGTGATGCGCGGCGTCAGACGCTGTCAGCCTTCATGCTCGCCTGGTGTCGAGGCTTGTCGGCTTGTCGGCAGGGAGCATGTTCCAGTCTAGGTCAAGGTCGAGGGATTAATATTAATATCAGTTGAGGGTGTGTCGAGACCTGGGTGTGTTGGCTGCAATGTGTTTGGGGTTGTAATTGATCCATGACAGACAATGCCACTGGCCATTTTTGCGTATGGCAGGTTCTGGTCCGATTTACTCGGAATCGGACGCCTCCCCTTGCGGAGCGAATCGGAGTAAGCTTGAGGCGGGATGTTCATCCGAGTCGCCTTCGGAAAAGTTCAACAAGAATATTAATCATTACTATTATCAGCATCGATGGTTCGAGTTCAAGTTGAACATTGAACGGTAGGCTCGTCAGTTGAACCATACAAGCTGTGGAACGCTTCAAGTTATATTTAAGAAACGCTAGCGCTTCGGAAGTCAAATTTCAACACACGAGCTTGGGTCCGCCCGCAGTTGTTCGATTTGTTGTATTATTATTTACATGGACCCACATAACGGCGATTCACACCCTAGGGACCTCCGCTTGACCCTGACGCCGCTTGAGGGTTGCATTGCTACGTACCGCCGAATATCCAATCAGGCTTCGAAGTACTTACATATGTACCTGTACCTGGTAGGCGATCCCCCGCCGGGGACACACCGCTCGCCTATGTAATACATACACAAAATTATAATAATACTCTTCGCCTAGGGAGATTAACGATACTCCCTCGCATCCGAGAACAACACCCTTCCCTCATATCCGACTTCCGAGAACAACACTACCCACATCCGGGAACAACAGCATTCCCTCACATCCGACTTCCGAGCATCCGACTTCCGCGCGAGCGCAAGCGACGGGTGCGCATTGCGCCCGTTGGGAATATCCGCCAGTAACCGCCCTGTATAACCGCCGCCAGTAGAATGGCTTCCGAGTCGTCTAAGGACGTGGAAGGCGGAAGCACATTAATCACTGCAGCTGACACAGGATGATAGTGGCTGCCGCCAGCGGATGTTAAGAGATGTTTAGTATGTGGCAACCGCAATCGCAACAATAATCTAAGTATTAGTGTCGGTAACAATCTGTAACAATACTTCTTCAGCACAACATGCACAATGGCGCACATCACGGAATATTAGTGCCGAAGTGTACATACATACGGCCAACACACGGCGTTGTGTTGTTGCGCACTGGCATGCATGTGCAATGCCATCGCTTGTCAATGTCTCTGGTCCAAATCTTTTCTTTGTCGTCGAGAGAAGCGTGTGGATGGTATCTTCGTATAAAATTAACAGGTAGAATTATAGGAGCGTTACGTCCAAGTGCTTCACCGAAGAACCGGCATGTCCAGCGCTGCTCCAAAGTTGTTGTATTATTTGAACAATGGGCCTTAGGCGGGCGAAGTCGGAGTCGGGTTGGCGACTCCAGCATCAGATGCTGGTCGACGCTCGAAGTCCTTCCTAAGTTCCTTCCTTCCTTCCTTCGCAGGAGTCTGATATACTTCCAAGCACTATCACTATCAGACTCCTGCGAACCACCGTGGCTGGCTGTGGCTGGTCTGGTGATCCATACCCATGAATTCCGACTCCGAACAGGCCCGGCCGCGCGAGTCCTCCTTCCGTATTCTGTGATCTGAGTCTGGCCTTCTGCATTGCATGATCTGCGAACCGCTGCCCTGTCGCGTACCATAGACGCCCGGGGCTCCAGACTCCCGTGGCCATCTGCATCTTGCTCACATCCTCAAGGCGTTCTTTCACTCACGGGCCACAGCGTGCCTCGCATGATACCTCGCATACCGCCTCGCCTCGCCCCCCTCCCCTGCTCCTGCTTCGTCCTTCGCGAATTCTTCTCGCCTCTCCTCAGATTTCCCATGTCCGAATTGTATTGTGCAGGCCCGCACAGGCGTGCATTGCTTGCCGACCCTCGCTGCTGCTTGGATGTTGTTCGAGGAGAATTGGTGCTAGAACCGGTGCTAGAGCCAAGAAAGACAATTGGTACCAGAACTGATTCCTGAAAGACGCACGCTCATTTCCCATCAGCATCTTGGCATGGGTTGTCGAGGTCGTATGTAGGCGAGGGTTCGCTTGGAGCGGCAAGGTCGGCGCTGTCGGCGCGTAGATGAGATTACATTCATTGCACATGCAGGCACAAGCACAATGCAATCTCATCTACGCGACGCCGACGCGCCAGTAATTAGCTGTAAGTAATTAGCGCACCCGATCGTGATCGCGTCGGTGTGGTAAGCGTGTAAGTCTTTGTAAAATTGAAAACTTGAATAAATCAAGAAGGAAGCATCGCTGCCCTTGGCGATGCGAGGTAGTTGGACGTTACTGTAGCGCGCAAAGGCAGACGCCACCGAGAAGCATTGAAGCTCCGAGGATAAGGCTAGCCGGGTACGTTGAACCGGGGCCATTAAAAATTGCTGCTGCTGCTGCTGCTGTTGGAGTGATTGGGTTTGTGTGCGAAAAAAGTGGTTGGGGGCGTGCAGAAACGAGACGGTGGAAATGAGATTTTGTCTTGGTTCGAATTCGAGATGTTGGACAGAATCTGATGAATACCTCTGCTACCTCGAGGCCCGGTGCGGGATGCCGAGCCATCACGGGTGGGTGCCTCGAGGCGTCGGCAAGCTGGGTTGAGGGCATGCCAAATGGCAAAACTTCATTTCGGTGCGGATCGACGCCAATGTGCGATGCCATGAGGCTGATCCCGATGCCCTGGCCCGCCGTTCTGCGGGACATGAATGGCGGTGGGGAGCGCGTCGGGAAGTTCGAGAGAGCTTGTTATACCGTAGACTATACTGCATAATAAATGGGCTATAATAGACAGTGGAAAAGGCAGGAGAATGGAATGGGAGTGCAACGTGGGGGTGTGGAAGCTGAAGAGTTGCCGCGTTTGGCGCTCGGGTGTAGTGTCGTATAAGTCATCCTCTGATCTCTTCTCCGTCTTCTGAATCTGTCTCCGTTTTCTGCTCCCCCTGCGCTGGCTAGCGCCACGATTGAATGCCCTCTATCCTCAACCTCAAGTTCAAAGTTCGTTCGGTGCTGCTGCTGCACACTGCCGATAAATTCTGACTCGAGTCTGTTTTCTCTTCGCGTGCACAGGGTAACAAGTCCTTTGTTGCGTTCAGCAACCTCAATGACACCGAGTCATTGACCAAGACCTGGAAGGTCTGTCCTGTCTCTTTTCTTTTCCTTTGTTCTTTTCGCCACACTGCTACTATACATACATATCCACTTTTTTCGGGTTTTTTTCGGAGCTCCTCTAACGCTACACGCTCGC